ACTCTGTCTCAAAAAAAAAGACATGCTGGGCTCACCCCACACCTTCAGCCCACTGCTAGGCCTCATCCGGTGCTCATTTGGGGACGTTTGGGTAAATGGCCTGGGAGGAAAATGTAGTTTCTACAAGCGTCAAGAGAGCCGACTGATACTTCGGCCTCCTCAGTTCAGTCATGGCGAGCGGAATAAACCCTTAGATACCGAGAAAAGCAAACGGAACCTAAGTTTTAAAATTTTTTAGTAAAGCTCCAGTGTTCTAAGTCTTGCTGGTTGCAGCCTTGGTAAGTCCACAGGGATCCCTGACACAGCCAGTTCAGAAAGGTCACTGCACCCTACACAGGTGACCTCAAGCGCCACTGATCAGCCGGGAGCGAGTCACCACTGGGTCCTTACCAAGGCCCAGGAGCTGCTGGAGCTCCGAGCTCACCCATGACCTTGTGGTCAGCAAGGGGACTCGAGGCCTTTCGGGTAAGAGGGAAGGCCGCCTTGCTTCCCGCTAGGGCCATGGCCACCTCTGCGCGAGTCCCCCTGGCAGCTCTGCCCGCTGGCCCTAAGGCTGCCCCTCCTGAGGGTGCCTGGGGAAGCTCCTGCCACCCAGGAGGGAGTGGCGGCTCAGCAAGGTCCCTGGGTTGACGTCTGAGGGGGTGTTGGTGAGACTTTCTCAGCGGGCGGTGTTGTGAATGGAAGTCTCTCTCCCCATGGACTCTACAGGCAGAAACCACCCCGGGTGTGGGCCCGGAAGGAACCAGGTCAGCAGAGGAGGGTTCCCCATCATCACACACCTGGCACTGGGTGAGCTGGGCACTGTCCTTAAACCACCTGTGTGAGACTCCTGCTCCCACGTAAATAAGACGCTTCCTGGGAGGTTTCCTGCCACTGCCCTCCCTGGGCAGACCTTGCAGAGCCCCACTTGTCCTTTGTGGGTACCCAGGCTGGGGGCAGATGCACAGGGAAAGACTAGGAGGGCAGGTTCGCCTGACCCCAGGTTCTCTGTACAACGAATTCAGGACGCAGCACGTCTCCCCGCCGCGGTCCCCACCTACAGTTTTCCTTCCACGCAGTACCGACGTCGCTGTGGCTTTTGGTTGTGAAATTGCCCAGTCGCCCAGCTATTGATCACAAAAACGTTAGGCACAATGCATTTTTATCCAACTCCTTTCTGTTTACGGATTAAAAATCCAGATGGGATTATGTGACAGAAGGGCCCCAGGTGACAGCGCGCCCCCGCCCCAAGTCTCCCTCAGACGGGGTGGGGGGGGGACCGCCCTGTCGCGGAGGCTTCCGTGCTCCGCTGTCCAGAAGCACCAGGGACCTTCAGCCCCAAGTTTCATCTCAGACCTGCGGCCCCGGGCCCGGGACCCTGCACTCTCGCCCTGCGGTTTCCAGTCGCATTGCTCGCCCCGTTTGCACCAGGGCTGGGCCGGGAGGAGGCTCCCCGCGCCTGTGTCCCGGACAAGGCGCGAACCCGTCCACGGTGCGCAACCGTGTCCCCCCGCGATCGCGTCCGTTCGGTTCTCACGGACACGCGGAGCCTGGTGCGACACGCTCCCCGCCCGCCAGGGCCGTCCACGGAGCGCTCCGCACCGGAGGTGAGATGCAGCCCGGCGCGGGAGGTCACCTTGCGGCGTCCTGGGAGAGACCACTGCGGCCTCTGCACGCAGCACCGCCGCCGGGAGTGGGCGCGCGGGAGACTCGCAGGCCCCGGGGTCCCTCCCGCACCCCCCGGCGGGGCGCCTGCGAGCCCGCGGCCACTGCGGTGTGTCCGGCGGGGCCTAAGGACGCCCGCGAGACGGGGCTGGGCGCGGCCGTCCGGGATGGGTTTGCCCCGCAGCGCAGGGCGTGGG